GTTAACCATTTTACCTAAAATATACTTTATTCCATTATTGTTTTGTAATAAAAGGAAAATTTAGTTAGAATGACAGTCTTAAACCTGTAAAGTGTGAAGGAAAATTAAATAACTTAGTACTGATTCCATACAAATTGTATTTTTAAATATTTAGTACTATTGACCTCATAATACAAAAGTCCGTAGTAGTTCATGTGAATAAAAGAACTAGTTTGGAGCTTTCAAGACAAGATGAACCAACAAATTAGATGAACTAAATGAACTAGAAAACTGAGCTAGACCATTTGATTGATTAAACTAGATAGGATCATTTCCTTTAAAGACCGATCAGGCTCAAGTCTAGTACAAATAACTTTAATTGGTAGACTTGTGCTTGCACCTTGGTCTTTTAAGAGAGTGATTCTATTATGTTCAATTGGTCAAAGGAACTACTTTTACCTTAGTTCCTTGGCTTTGGTTTGTAGTAATCAGAAAAGAATCATAATCTAAAAAACATAAAAATACATGGTTTCCTTCTTGCTATATATTTTTTTGTGATTTTTGTATAACTTTCTTTTCATATTAATTATAATTATTATTTTCCTTGGTCAAATTTTACGTATGCATAACGTATATAAAAATTTCGAATATAACAGCGTTATTGAGTATATGTGTTTAAGTCTTAAATGAACTAGTAGTATTCAATCATGCTTCTCACTTCAACTTTACTAAATGCTGTAAAAGATCACTAATTGGCCCCTTCGCATCACATCTATGGGTGAACTACTCTGATTGTACAAAAGGAAGTAATTCCTTTTGATGAGTTTTGGGATCCATTATTAACAGTTCCTAGTTCATATAACCATTTAAGCCTACTGATTAACATCCTTTGATGTAGCAATACATTTAGCTAACCACGGCCAAGTTTGCTCATTGAAAATTTTAAGTGTTCTAGAGCTTTTTTGGGATTATATTAACTATTATTAACTTTAAATATTGTATTTTTATTTAAATGTTTACATCAACATAAATTTGTTACTGTCCAAATTATCGTACACTTGCTGTGTTCATACAAATAATGTTTTCTATTGTTATAAATTTATTGTGATTTACATACTTTCATTAAAGTTATAAAGTTAGGTAGAATAGACAAGGTTATATAATGAATACTCAAATTGTATATTTCTATAATAATAAATTATATCTGACTCCCTTGTCATGAAACAGCTGTACAATAATTACAAGTGTAATGGTTCAAAGGGAAGTGCTGATTTATTGTAATTAATTAACATGATAAATAATGTAACATTTTAAAAATATTTCTGGGACCATCTACACACGTTTCGGAAACGTGTGCTTACAAGTTAACATGATAATTCCATAATTGTAACTTTTTCATTGAAAAAAAAAACTGACCTCAAAAGTTTGCTTATCGGCTTGTTTTCCATTTCCATGGGATCCCCTCATCAGATTCTGACTTCTTGATGACAATGGGACTGTTACATTTTGTATTTCTATTCTTTTGTACATTTTGTATTTTCTTTTCTGGTTATCATGATGACGGTGACTTGTTGATTATAAATGTATTGTGTCAAGTGAACAGTCGACTTTTATTTGCGGAAAATATTTAGTAATTTGTGAGAGCCGAAACGACGGATAAATTGATGGAGAAATTGGTGAATACAAGGACATGCCTATAAAATTTGAGGACTTCCTTCGATTTTCATGGGATCCCCTCATCAGATGCTGACTTGACGACAATGGGACCACCACGAGAGTACACCCTTTCAAACAAAACATAATTTTCAAAATCGAACCAGAATTGACATAAGATATATCTGTAAACGTACTTAAAACATACATACAGTCGAACGTATAACATCCTTTTTCTTGAAGTCGGTTAAAAATAACCTTTACTGTTATGTCTTCACCACATTATCAGTTTACTTAGTTGCAAAACTATACGACTAAAAACACTAGTTGTAGGTGATTTATGTTTATTTTTGTTATTGTACTTGGTATCAAATCGATATTAATAATAATTAGTTATTAAAGCAAGTAACTGGTAAGTGGACATTAGGACATTAACTATTAGTCATAGTCTGTGTGTACACCGAATATAATTTCATATTATATTATTAAAATAAATTAATTATATTCGGTTGTTAAAATAATAATTATGTATACTCGATATCATTTCATTCTGATGTTCGAGTCAACAATATGAATAACGTTTTTTATTATTTTTTTATTTATTTAACACACATATCAATGACATTACTAAAGCATACAGTATTGTAAAAACCATAGCTGGTTTGACTCAAATAGTGATCGTCCTTTCTCAGAAGCAAAAGATATTTATTTGTTGCTTCCACATTTTTACTTTATTATATCGTCCCGGCGATATCAATTAATTGTTTGTTTACATCAATAATCTAAATCGTATATTTTCTTCCAGATGTCATGCCGATAGGAACAAGCATCGTGATTCGTCTGATCTGGGCGTTCATGATGATGAAATGGGGCCTACTCCTGTACTTGACCACTAGGCGGTACCTCCGCACCTACAACGACGATCAGCTCTTCTCTGAAAACCCTAACATCGAGGAAACATAATTTAGTTCAATAGTTTTGTTGTTAGATGATTTTGCCCCAAATAGGTGAGTGTGTTTCTTTATTAGTTTTCATTAATAATTGGTGTCGATTTGGCAGATATTGATTAGGAACATAATACTATAGAGCTTCCAGAAGTATGGTCCTCGTTTCGTACTGAACCTTTACGAGCACTATGATTATGACATCAGTGGGAGCTACTAACCAATATGGAGTTGTAGGAAATCGATCAATATTTTTTGTAACAAACAGACAATCGGAGTTGCCAGACGCGTACAACCGAATTCAAACTTTTTTAAATAAGTTTGAATCAACGCCCAAGGTCCATATAGCCCTTAGATTCAGACCAGAAATTTCATTTAAAGTTACAGTAGCATATTTTTTTGGAATTTCTGTCATTATAACAATTATTGAAAGTGTAAACGAGGCTTAAAATAAAATGTCAAAATGTACATGAGTCGTACTGCCTTCATAACATGAATTTGCAGTCCATAATTTTTATTACCTACATATTAAAAAAACACTTTGTTTCTCCAACTTATCTCAACCTTTTATTAATGAATGTAATACTTGTTTCATTACGTGTTTTTAAAATGGACATGATCTTTTTTGTTCTCTATAATAAAATTCGGTTTTTTTTTTCATAAAAAATATTTTATACATCATACATGTATAACACTGCGCTATGTATATGCTGCGCACTGCGCTACTATTCCACGCAATAAGCATAGAACTTGATAGAAATAACATAAACATTTTAAAAACGCGTACTTAAATTCATTTGGCCTTTTTTTTATTGTTTGGCAACCCCGCAATAGATAGACATTTCGTTTCGCGTACCTACGGTTGGTTGCACGTATGACGAGAGTAACGATCGTAGCCGCAGCGTGCAAGCCATCCTGCATCCTGGAAGGCGTCCTGCGAGACAGGATAGAGTGTGAGCAGTCTCCTGCTTGTGCGGCAGACTGCCGTGCAGGGTAATGAATGCCCTCCCTGACGCTGACACTGCACAAGATTTGATCCCCAATGCGGCTTAGAACAAAGGAAGGGAAGCGGAATCATCATTATTATTAATTACTACAAAAGACAAATACGAACAAGGCCACCGGCGGCTACGATCAATTATATACTTCCGGTCATTAGTAAAATGAAATGCTAATAAACGACCATGAAATGGTTCCTTTTCTTTTTTTTTACTCGAAAAAGTGATATGAAACCCAAATTACAAAAAAATTATAACGTATGCACAATAAATAAACACACTCCCAAAGCAACTGGACTGGCATTCAATATTAATTAAGTTAACATTGTATATTCCGTTGTAAACTTCGTTCGTTAAACCTTAAGCTGTTCATTTGAAACCTTAACGAAAAGCTTTTGTAATATCTTTTCGAATCTGTTGAATTGCAGAGTTAGTTTCTATTTCGCCAACAATTTAGTGACGGAACGAGGACGATTAATAGGTATAAGCAAATACAATTAATATTTTACAAACAAAATAAGAATAAAAATATTAATGATAGATAGATAGATGTTGGCAGGATTAACACGTAACCGTAAACTGTGATATTTTTAATGGGTGTGCTTACTAATTGAACATATTATAATATTGAATGATTCCGAACGATGGTTTATACAAACGTTTTACTCAAAATGAGACGCATTTCTGAACTTAAAAAAGTGCAGTCCCTTCAATCATTATTATATTCTTTTTCTTGTTTACATTTGTACTACTTACTAACCAGTGTAGTCACGCTTATCTGTGTTCTGCGCGTGCCAAGTATTTTATATAGATGCAGAATTATATTTCATAAATGGCAAAATTCATTGTGGAGAATCTTGTGAACAAAAATTTAATTCCTTGTACATATCCAACCCGAACTGAAATACAATTTCAAAGAATATAGAGGTTTGAAATACAAGAATTTAATATATAAAATATTGAATACGTTAATTAAAAATTAGACCCAAATTGGAAAATTTGTTATTACTAATATATTTGATCATTTAGTTTTAAGAATTTGTATAGAAAATGCTAAAAGCGACGTGTAGTTAGTTACTTAATCTGTTAATAAACACGAAAATTGCTGTTCATATTAATAAGCAGTTTAGAATTAGTACTAGTACCTGTAAGTTATTTAAAACTAAAAATTATTTACATTAGGATAAAATGGGTACTTATCACCTCGATGTATCGTTCGTATAGAATAAATGCGAAACGTTTCTATGTGTTACTTTTATTACGTTTTTCTTAAGAATGGTAAATCCCTGCAACACTGGAGGTAGTCTAGCTAGCGAGCATCCCGTTAACATGCCACTGGCAGGTGGTGTGTGGCCCAGCGGCCGCAGCGCCGCACTCGAGGCCTCTAGCCCGCAGCCCAAGAAAGTGGAGCCAAGAAAGCACCAGTAGATAGACGAACGCGCGGAACGGCCGACGTGCGCTTCGCTCGCGTTCCAAGTTCAACCTCACGCGGAATTGATGTTGATGACTTGAAAAAACAAAACAGTGCACTCGTGCGTCTCCACACAACAAGTAAATTGAAATATCGTCGCTGAATCGATGTGGACGCCGAGGATTCCTCTGTAGTAACCGAAGTGGTGAGTAAACAGGATTGATAGAATGCTGAGTTCGCGCTTCGGATGCAGAAAACGTGTTTACTATTTTAGACAGTTCGTAGATAACATAAGTAGTGTGGATGCTAATTTTATCGTAATGAGAGGTAATTTGTTGTCTTGCAGTCGTCGGAAATTGTGCACTGGGATTATTACTTTCAATGCGTTCTGAGAAAGGATAACAGATGTATTCAAGATCTTTTATTGCCGAGCTTGATATTTATTTACGAGGCAGAAGTTATTACATTTGCTCCGGGACGTTGCAACTGGAATAAATAAAATTAAAACCACAGGCATACACTTAGTGCGGCTACAGGTTATACTACTACAAAAATATTAAAGAGAAGCATATTTGTGGACTGCAAAGTGAACCGTTGTGTCTCGAATTAATAAAATGAATAAGTACGTAACTGATCAATCATTGAGACGGCTTGATGGCTTGAATATTTGTTATGCATTTATTTACTTACAATAATAGTAATCGATCGAAACAAAGTCATTACCCGCAGCCTGAAAAACAGTACTGTGACAAAGTAACTAATTTATAACTATGTTGAGTAAACATCTTGCGCAAACCCCAATACATATTAGTAAGTATTTTAAGTTTTCTCATCCATACAAAAAGATGACGAAAATAAAACTTATGGAAAAACTGCAATAAATGCGTCAAAATTATCATGGAATATCGACTCGCCTGGCATTGTGTCACAGTATAGTTATCCTAGGTAGGTATAAATCAAAAATAATTATAGTTAAACGAGCTAAGTAAACATTTTACGATGCACTCAAATGGTGAACGCTATTTATGAAAGAAAAAAAAAACCTTTCTGGTTAACAATAAGATAAAGGAAATTACCTACCTGCATATATTTTACGCGACGTTTAGTGAACGGTTTCCCGAACTCAAATGCAATAATAGTTACGTTGGTTTGACATGATTGTTTAAATGATTCAATAGTACTTACTTCCCGGATTATCTGATATTTTTAACAAGTATCATACATCGAAAGTGCTAGGAGTCAAGCACGTTTTTGCTAATTACTGAAAAATCTAGTTTTTTAATGGCAATAACGTGCTTTATGCGTGGACCCTTTCGATGTGTGTATATGAATGAGTATTCTTTAAAATTAAAAGTGTGTATACAAGTAAAATATGAAAATGGTTCGATTTCTTCATTAAGTGAGGAGACTACATAAGACCTACAGGGTTCATCGGCTCCATAAAAACGCGCCTGTATGTAACTGGTTACCTATGTATTTCCTTAAGCATTATCATATACAATTAGGTAATTTCCCAGATTAGATCAAAAGAGGAAGTAAGTGTTCTTCGGCATTTCACACAAAACAAATTGGCCTTTGTCACAATGACTCACGAAATTAGCGGCTATTTTACTCAGCTCTTTATGCAACCAAAAGATCCGACCAAATATCAGTTGGTGATTGTACTCATAGCAACATGCATTTTGAGCAAACTTTTAAGAACTGTTAGGAATTTACAAAAGTTTTGCCGTCTGGAATAAGCTCTTCTATATTTTTTATCACAAAGTGACGAACTTTTCAATATGTCAGGAGATCGTCACAAAAAGCCACTGCGCACTGGTCGCGTAATTTTACACCCTAAATGCAGAAAAGTTTGCTAAAATGAAAAATATAATGATATTTGCCTCTATTCGGCGAAAGTTACGTGAAAATAATTCAACAAGTTTCTGCACTACTCATGTTTTCAATAATTTTTTTTTCTTTTCTCTGCCATGCTCCACTGATCATCACGAGCGAAAAAAAACATCGAGCCTACGTGTCTATGGATGAATTGTATTTGGTGTTATTTTTGCCGCCGTAATGGAAAGTATAAAAAAGTTTTTTTTTTTCGAAATCGGTGAGATTTGTAATGTTTTCATTACCTATATGGCAAGGTTATCGCACTTTGCAAATGGTTAGCAGAAAAACAGATTTCATTGAAATTGAATTGATTCCGTCTCTGTAATAGATGAATAGCTTTTTTTACGACGAGCTGCAGACGCATTCCTAGTTTGTTTTCTTTTGACACTTTTACTGCATAATATCTAAGCTTTCTATACTTTTTGTTATAACTTTTAACTAGTAATTTTGAAAGAAACGTGTCTCTGTCTAGTTAATTTTAAAACTGCGGTGTTCACATAGTAATTGGGTACGCAGCAGGTTCGTAAGTAACTTGCGTACAATGTTAAGTGTCATAGTGTACCTACCACGAATATGCCTACCATTACATTTACTGGTTTATCTATGCTATCCATCCGGTGGACAAGCACAGCCAATTATCGGCTATTGGCCGCAACGATTCGAATCTTTGCGGATATTTTTCTTTCGGAGAAACTGTTTTACAGCGTTCAACGTGGCTTGATAGGTGATAAAGGTAAAAATGTTGAAATACCGGCTTCTGTATGCACGGCGCTAGAATAGTGGCCGCATATCTATTGGTGTAATTTTCTGTTGGTGACTAAGACCAGACTAGGGCGTAGGTTTCAAACTGGTTACCTTGTAAATACATCTTCAATATGCAAAGACTCTAGCTCTTATGTATGTAAGTGTAGTTACAGTGTCTCTCGGTACAGAGTTCTAGTGAGGGTTATTTTAAATACGTTCCTATATCTTCCAATGTTCCCTGGCAGAGTCACGAAGGCGGAGGATCGAAGTCGTGATGTTCGTGATTCTGGACATTGTTTCCGGACATTCTATTTTTATTTCTAAATTCTCAAGTGTTATTTTTGGATTTTAATTGTTGATTAAATATTTAAGGAGGCGCAGGTCGGCAAACAACATTTCGTTGTCATATTTAAATATATTACCTCAATCTCCCATCATATTCCCAACGGTAAAGTAGGTAGTAAGGTATAGTAGCCCAGAAGAACAGTTTGTGCTTAATTACAAAAGCTGAATTATTTCAACGTATTGTTAACATAATATGATTATAAGTTTTTTATAAAAAAAAAACCGATCTCAAAAGTTTGCTTTTCCGCTTTTGCTGTGTTCGTTGCACCTCTTATCGTGATAACTGAAACGCTATGGAAGTCCTCATCAAAACGAATCACCTGAGCCCAAACACAAGGTAGCTGCTGAACAATGTCGAAGAGTTCCTGTAACAAATTGCAAGTTAAGCCACTGACAACCCAGTAAGGAAGGATACAGAAACAATATTCCATAACAAAAATAGTTATAATACCTACCACCTTATCATTTCAGTTAACTTTGGCATTTGCAAGAACCATTCCTTTAGTTTTAAATTTTGCCATCTGCATGGGTAAGTTTGTGGTTCCGTCCCAGCAGCGACAGTAATGGTTCATCGTTTATTCAAGCAAGAGGGACGTGCCAGGAAGAGGAAGCCGAATGGACTTAATGATTGTTTTTCTGTCGGCCGCGGTGCTATCTTGCGTTACGTAAGGCGACGTCTCTCGTGGCGGCTTCTCTATACGTAGACATTACATGAAATTAATGCCTCGGAATGTAGTAGGTATACTGTATGTTAAGAATATATGTTTGTGTCGAGACTTGGAATTCTCGTTGAACTGTTTTTAAATACAGACTGACGTACTATACCTAAATGTCTGTCTTCCCCTGGTGCTCGATTCACATCTTTGTTCCTTCAATTATTTTTTCTTTACTTGTAACTGCAGAATCAGCCTGGTCGTGTCATTTACTGTTCTATACCTACTGTGCTTTCTGGTATACGAAATAGATTTCTCCAGTTGACCTCCGTCATGAAATGAGGTACCTTTTTGTATGCATTTAAATGTGCATGTATGATGGTAGCATTTGACCACATATTATCATTAATATACCGCAGTTATTCACGGAATTACGTTTCCTTGCGGCTCGTGAAGATTTTGGTGATTTATACAAATTACGTTCGAGACATACGGTGGACATACCTTTTAAGTAATTGTATACCTACCTTATATGGATAAAAAGTGCACGAAGGAGTGGTATGATGAAAACTTGATGTAACGTAGGCAGTAAAGTTGTTAATAAGCTGCTGCCGTCTACAGCGTCTTATTTAGATACAATCCGTATATCAATGTGATTCAATCCTTGAGCTGGAGCAAATAATTAAAATGGTAATATGAAAAATAACAGATCAGAATTTCTGATTGGAAGTCGCATGTGACGAGCGCAATTGGTGCTGGTGCAGTGTCACCAAAACGACGATCACCGCGTCTATCAATCACCGATTTGGGAACAAAAGACTAAGACTGCCCTTCTTCGTCTATAGATCTTAGAAACACAGAAACCTAATTGTTAAACCTGTAGAGCTAACAACCGTTGAAATCAGGCTAATGTATGGTGTAATCTCCATGACGTGCAAACCAATAATGGGTTGCAAAAGATCCGGCCATTCGGCCATTTCTCGACCATTGTGTGGCTCCATCGATTGTACCATTGTAGCTGTTGTAGCGAACATCTCGCTTTGCTTTGTTTATGTTGCGAAATACACATGTTTAGAGGACTTTGTTGAATTACGTAGGATTGAACAAGTTCATGGATTTTCCTTTTTTTTACATTAATGTACAGCAAGTGTAACAGCTATGGACAAAAAACATGTTGAATTGCTTAAGAACTTCTGGTAATCATATGTAGTCATCCTCGACACCTCACACAAACAAAGCACAGGCACACATTCATTTAGCTGTCAATGGTAATGATCTTTGACGTTCTAATTGTACCATTGTGCTGCTGCAATTTAAATATTCCTTTTGTTTGTTATATTGTTCTTCCAATCCTTTTCTTTTTGTCTCAGATAACGGAAATAATTATTTTCACGTTAAGTATTTGTCCGTAAATTATGTAGATAAGTTACCAGGTACGACGGACTGATGATCAACGTATGTTATCGAGTGACGGTCGCAATCCTGGGGGCCTACTATGAGCTCTTAGAGCAATCCTATTTAAGCCTGTAAGTTGGATTGCCTGTCAAATTCGTACTATGACCTCACAAAAACCATTGCCATGCAC